AAATGAGAGGAGGTGAAAATTTGTAATAATAATAATAATAATAATAAAGAAAAAATACATCTCAAACTCAAAGACACACATGGTCTCAGAGTAAAGGGTTGGGAAAAAATATTTCAATCAAATGGGCCTAAGAAACAAGCTATCCTAATATCTAACAAATTAGACTTTAAACTAAAATCAATCAACAGAGACAAAGAAGGTTATTTCTCATTAGTCACGGGAAAAATCCATCTCAATACTGAACATCTATGCCCCCAAATACAAGAGCACCCTCATATGTGAAAGAAACACTTCTAAAGCTTAAATCATACATTAACCCCCCCACACAAATAGTGGGAGACTTCAACACTCTACTCTCACCACTGGACAGGTCAGTCAAACAAAAAATGAACAAAAAATAAACAGAGAAATAAGATGTTTTGACTCAAATGGATTTACCAGACATTTATAGGATATTCCATCCAAACAGAAAAGAAGATACCTTCTTCTCAACACCTCATGGAACCTACTCAAAAATTGACCACATACTTGGTAACAAAATAAACTTCAACAAATAAAAAAAATGGAATAACCCCATGTATCTTATCAGATCACCATGGTTTAAAAATAGAAGTCAACAGCAATACTAATTCCAGAAAACCCACAAACACATGGAAATTAAACAGTACTCATCTGAATCATCAATAGGTCAAGGAAGAAATAAAGGGAGAAATTAAAGACTTCCTAAAATTTAATAAAAATGACTACACAACATACCCAAATGGTGTGGCACAATTCTGTATTCTGTCAATTATGTTTTAAATAAGCACTGATTGGTCAGTAGCTAGGCAGGATGTATAGGTGGGACAATCAGACAGGAAGCAGCGGCAGGACAATGAGAACAGGAGTATTCTGGGAAGGAGGAAGCTCTTTCCCCAGTTGTGTCCAGATACCTAAGAAGCAGGATGTGACCCACCCTGCTGAAAAATGTACTGAGCCATGTGGCTAACATATACTAGAAAATGGGCTAATATAAGTTATAAGAGCTAATACAAAGCCTGAGCTAATAATGAGCCAATCAGTTTTATAACTTATGCAGACCTCTGTGTGATTCTTTGGGACCTAATGACTGTGGGAACTGGGCAAGACCGAAACCCCAACAAGCAGGCCCTTCGTGTTACACCCAAATTTATGGGACACAATGAAAGCAGTGTTAAGAGGAAAGTTCATAGCACTAAATTCCTACATAAGGAAGCTGGAAAAATAGAGAGATGCTCAGTAAAGAATAAGACATAGGTGTGTGGAGAAGAGAGCAGAGGCTTGAAAAAGGAGCTGGCATGAAAGTGCCATTCGGAGATTTAGTAAGAAAACTAGGGCCTGCCGAACACAGGGAAGGAGGCTTGACTGTCCCTTGATGTGAGAAAGCATCGTGAGTGACAGTACAACATACCAGAGATACTGTGACAGGGTCATGAGGTAGCAGAGCAGCATAGGCTCTGTGGAAACATAAGAGGTATCTTAGAGTGAAAGAATGGAGATAGCCATACATAGAGAGCATGGGGAGGTGAACCTGACTGGTGTGTGTGTGTGTGTGCGTGTGTGTGTGTGTGTGTGCGTGTGTGTGTGCATGTGTGTGTGTACCTGTGTGTGTGCATGTGCGTGTGTGTGTACCTGTGTGTGTACCTCTGTGTGTGTGTGTGTGCGTGTGTGTGTGTGTGTACCTGTGTGTGTGTACCTCTGTGTGTGTGTGCGTGTGTGTGTGTGTGTGTGTGTGTGTGTGCATGTGATTCAGAGATATACACTAAAAATTCAAAAAATTGCTTTTATACTGCTTTCCAGAGGACAAGAAGCCTGGCCACTGCTATAATCGAATTTCTGTGTAGGCATTAGATTTGTTTTCTCTATGGAACAGAAGTAAGCAATTACATTTGTTTGACATTCCTGTTACATTCATAGGTGACAGGGCTATACCAGCATGATGCGGGTGGCATGACCTGACTTTTCTGTGTTTCGGTTCTTGAAATACCAGGCCCATGTTCTAACCATGAACGAATGTGTGATTGGGCTGCTTTAGGGAGTGTCTGGATAAGCTGTTCTTACAATGAGTGTATATTAGATTTCGGGGGCTCTCCAGCTAATTTCTAGATTTGGGTAAGCACCACCCTTCTTTAAACATTTCCCAGAGGGTAATTTACTATAATGTTTAATGTTTAGAGACTTTTCATATAAAACAAAAGTATAAAGGGGATTTATCAGGGTAGTCACGAGAGGAAAATGTGAGAATCTCAAGGTTATACATCATTTTGGTTCATTTATCATCTTTCATATCTTATCCAGTTTCCTTTCTTTTGCTGTGACAAACCCAATGACCAAATGAAACCTGAGTGAGGTAAAGGCTTATTTCAGCTTGCACATTTAGGCCATGGTCCATCATTGAAGGAATTAAGAGCAGGGACTCAAGAACTGATCAGAAATCATGGAGGAACAATGCACCCTGGCTATTCACTCATTTCTGTTTAGCTCGATTTCCTCTGCCTAGGGTTGACACCATTCATACTGCACTGTGCCTTCTGACACCAATTTCCCAACAAGAACAAGAGCAGTGACTCACAGTCATGCTCACAAGTCAGAGATTCAGGCAGTTTTCCAGTTGATGTTCCCTTTTCCAAGGAGTGTCACGTTGACAACATCTGACAGGGACATCTGCTTGATGTGTGTTAAGGAATATCCAATATCTCTAAGGCTTTATCCATGGTGCCTGAAGCTTCCTGACTCATCAGCAGCAGGACACGGAATCCAGACCCACAATGAAGGGCTGGTTTTCCTTCCCAGGCTGTTGTCAAAGTCCTCTAACTTTTCCTGTCTGTGTATCCTATGTAAGAAGCATGACTGTGGCCTACATGTGATGTGGGAGTGATTCCTTACTAATAAAGAAACTGCCTAGGCTCATTTGATAGGCCAACCCTTAGGTAGGCGGAGAAAACAGAACAGGATGCTGGGAAAAAGAAGCTTAGTCAAGGAGTCGCCATGATTCTCCCGCTCCAGACAGAGGCAGGTTAAGATCCTCCCTGGTAAGCCAGCTCGTGGGCTACAAAGAATATTAGAAATGGGTTAGAACAATATGTAAGAGCTAGCCAATAAGAAGCTGGAACTAGCGGGCCAGGCAGTGTTTAATAGAATACAGTTTCCGTGTAATTATTTCGGGCATAAGCTAGCCATGCGGGCAGCTGGGTGCCGGGGACGCAGCCCCGCCGCTCTTACTTCAACATACATGGAAGATGGCTTGAATCTGCTCTTTGTCCTTTCTGTTTTATTGAACAGCTAAGAAATACCTAGGTACATACACCATTTCCTTGAACACAGTTTTAACATTGGAACGTATCAGGTTGAGAGAAGTAGTTTCCTTCTGCACAGAAAGTCAGTGCACAGTGTGCAGTTGCACCCTCCAGACTCACAGCCACCAGATACTAGAATTGAGTCTCACAGCCATGAATCCCCTTTCAGAGTTGCTGTGTCCAGTGCAGCAAATGCTAATACATGGAGTCCTGGGAGAGAAGGGCAATGACCAAGCACAGAGAGATACACAGATTCTCTGGCTTCCCTTGAGGGATAAAAGAGAACAACTTTACTTTAAAAACTTTATATTAAAGGAGTGAGCAGGCTTGCTTGATTACCGAGAGTGACAGGTCTTATCTAGAGTTTTAGGGGTTACCACAGCTCAGAGCTCCCTCCTGAACATACTTCCCCCAAAAGCAGCACCTGGAGGCATTTTCCTTCTGGCCAGCAGATTACACTGAGGTTTCCTGAAAAGGCATGCTACCACCAAGGGGAGGATGAACTGAGTTGCAGGTTTACCTCGAATTCAAGTTTTCCTTTGATAATGATTTTTTTTTTTTTTTTTTTGAGACAGGGTTTCTCTGTGGTTTTGGATCCTGTCCTGGAACTAGCTCTTGTAGATCAGGCTGGTCTTGAACTCACAGAGATCCGCCTACTTCTGCCTCCCAAGTGCTTGGATTAAAGGCGTGCACCACCACTGCCCGGCCAAGTTTTCCTTTGATGAGAGCTTTACAGGCTATCTCGCAGCAGAAAGCTAGGAAAAATTTCTGGTATTTGGGCTTCCCTCCAGCTATATGTTCAGGCCATTTCCTGATCTTCCTGGCTGCCCCTCCCAACCTAGGCTTATGATATAAGCCTGTCTTGTGAGATGGGTCCTGAGTGCTGTCGTCCTGCTTTCTGATGCCCTCTGGTCTGCACATCTCACTGCAATGGGAAAACACATCTTGGTGTTCCTGATGGGCCTCACTTTGCTGGTGAGCTCCCTGCAAGGTGAGACCCCAGAAGCTGGTAGGGTTTGCTGCTGGCAGGTAGACATACTGATGCTGCATATTGGGGCCAATAGGAGGTGTGAGGAACAAGGACTAGAACTTGGATAACATCTGAACTGATCCCTGCTTCATTCTCATGTCCACATCTCCTTTCTCCCTTTCCCTCTGCTGCGCATAGTCAAGGATGCTTCCCCTCCTCTGTCCTGGTGCTGGTGCTCTGCCTCCCGCTCCTTATCACCCTGCTCTCCTCCCTCTCTCCACCTTCCTTCACCTCTGTTCTCTGGCACATTCAAGCATCCTCAATTCCGCACACTTAAATGTAAATGGGCCTAAGTGGGAAAGGAAGTTCATTGGCAGGATGAAAACTGAAAGAATGCACTCGTCCAGTCCTGTGTGATAAAATGCCTCAGTCTTAAAGACAGGATTCCTGGAGATTCCAGTTGATCCTGCTCAGTCCTTATCAGTTAGCATAGAAAGAAGGGCTGTTTGGACAGGCTGCTTGCTAGGATTGTCTGTCTTGGGAAAAAAAACTTTCATGAAGGAGGGACTGCAGACCCTCATAGACCCCTATAGGTGCAACTATCTTCCTCATTCCCAAGTTCCTGAGGCCCCTTTTATAAAGAGTCAAAGGCACACTTTTTCCTGTGGCAGACCCTTTTGTTTCCTGTGGGAGAGAGGCTGCCCCTTGCTGTGTGAACTAACAAATATAATTCTCTCTGGTGAGGTCAAATTCTGATCTCTTTCTGCTTTCTTTCTTTTTTATGTTCTTAGAAATCTAACATTTGATGCCAAGAGAAAAAAAAAAACAGAAAAGGCATCAGAGTCCATTGGTGACCTGAGCCCTCCTTCATGCACCTCCCTTGTTCTCATCTGCTCCAATGCCCAGGCTCTCCAGTAGCCTGGCAGGGTTATCTGTCTCTCAGGCAGCCATTGACTACTCTTCCTCCCGAATGCCCCCTTTTCTCCTTTGGCTTTTCTGTCTCATTCTGACATAATCTGACTTACAGATGGGAGGATGGTTGTTCCTTTGACCAGACCATGCTTTCACCACAGCCAAAATGTTTGAACCAGGTAACTCGTGATATCTAACGGGAGGCACCCCTGTTAATTCTTACCCTGAGACTCAGTAATAGGATCTGGGAGCCTTCCATGGACCCACGAGCATTGTTGTTCAAAAGTTCCAGGAACCTTCCACTTGTCCTGCAGTCTCTTGACTCTGTCTGGGAAGTTACCAAGACTTGGGATGCCCTCCTACTTTCCAGGAACATTTGGTCAACCTGAAACCCAAGGGACTCATCTGGTGACTGGATTTGATCCCTGTTCTTATCTTTGTTCCACACCCCTTATGGATCTCAAACTACATACCCTTAACCTGTCTGTGGGCTAACCTAAGAAAGCTCGATTTGGGAGGCCTTGGGCCAGTCACACTTGTTTAGCTTTCAGTTCAAATCCGGCCTCAGTATACACTGGGCAATGTTCACTCCTGGCCCAAATTTTGAACCTAAGATTTTAATATCTAAATTAATTTAGTTAACTTCATAAAACAAAATGGAGAATGGTCAGAGGACCCATAGCACCACCACAGCTCATTCTTTTCCTTCTCATCCCTGCCTCCCAGTTCCTGCCTATACTCCCGCCTAGAGCCCCAACCCCCTTCTCCCAAAAAGTTCTTCCAGCAGGTGAGGAGTAAAGTCAAGATAAGTTCTCAGCTGAGGTAGCCTATTGCACAGAAGGAATGTTGGCTGTGGGAACAACAGAGCAGGAACCACAATGAGTATGGAACTGAGGAGGTCCTCCTTGTTTGTCAGTCCCTGCAAAGACCCAGGCACCCTAGCAGCCTTGCCAAGCAGCAAGTCCAGGAGCCTTCATCAGTTAGCTCTGCTCTTTACCTTGACTTTCAATTCTCTTAGAAAAGTGAATTTCAGGGTGCATATCCTAACTCCCACCTCTATGTTCCCTTATTAAAGGAAGCTGACACCAAATTCACAGTTTTGGAAAGTTATCCAGAATATCCAAGCAGTGTCTTTGGCAGTTTACTAGACAATCCTATAAAAATGACTCAATAGGATTGCAATTTTATTTTTTTCTCTTTATTTTTTTTTGCAATTTTATTTTAAATTATCAATTAGATGCTGACTGTGATGGCTAGTTTTATACCAACTTGACCCAAGCTAGAGTCATTACAGAGGAGGGAGCCTCAATCAAGAAACCTCCGGTGTAAGATTCAGCTAATGGAAAGTCTCTGGAACATTGCAGGAGGGCCCAGTCCATTGTGAGTGGTGCCCCTTCTGGGCTGCTGGTCCTGGGTTCTATCTATAAGAAAGCAGGTTGAGCAAGCCATAGGGAGCAAGCCAGTAAGTAAGTAGCATCTTACCATGGCTTCTATATCACCTCCTACCTCTAGGTTACTGCTTGATGTGGGATTCCCCTCTGTATACTGTGAATAAAGAAGCTGCTTTGAGACTATTGCAGGGCAGAATAGGGCAAGGCAGGAATTCCAAGCAGATAGTTGTAGAGAGAGAGTATGTGGAGTCAATGAGATGCCATGTAGCCACCAAAGGAGACTGAAGCCCAGGAACCTTACCAGTAAACCATGAGCCTCATGGTAAAATATAAAGTAATAGAAATGGGTTAATTTAAGATGTAAGAGCTAGCTAGAAATACACTTAAGCTATTGATCAAACAGTATTGTAATTAATACAGTTTTTATGTGATTATTTTGGGTCTGGGCAGCCAGGAAACAAACAAGCAGTCTCTGCCTTGTTTGGCACCCAACTTTGGGTCTGAACCCACAACCCTGGGATTAAGGGTTCTATGCTCTACCGACTGAGATCTAGGTTCTACTACCTACAGCTAGCTGTTCTACTTGAGTTCCTGCCCTGACTTTATTCAATGATCATCTACTATGTGGAAGTGTAAGCCTTTTACTCCAACTTGCTTTTGGTCATGGTGTTTTACCACAGCAATAGAAACCCTAACTAAGACACTGAATTTAACTGACTTCTTTACAAAGCTTCCTGGTACTCATTCCTTATGCAGAAGCATGATGAAACCAACAGCTAAAGGAGTTATCTTACCCTTCTACAGAACTCTGGTACATGATCTAGCAAGCTCTATAATTGCATTTAACCCTACTAAACAAAATAAACTAATCTTTTCTTTTTAGGTTTTTCTTTTTTAACCTTTTTTTTGTTTTTATTGAGCTTTACATTTCCCCACTCCCTTTCCTTCCTCCTTTCTCTGCTTCCACCCTTCCCCTTTTCCCCCCCCCCCCATGCTCCCCAGTTCTCTCGAGCTGTGGATTACAGTCTGGTTCTCCTTTCCTTGCTTTATATCTTCTATCCACTTATGAGTGAGCACATTCTATACGTGTCTTTCTGAGTCTGGGTTACCGCACTCAAGATGTTTTTTTTTTTGTAGTTCCATCCATTTGACTTCAAATTTCATGCTGTCATTGTTTTTTCAGCTGAGTAATACTCCATTGTGTAAATGTACCACATTATCCATTCTTCAGTTGAGCTGCATTGAGATTGTTTCTAGGTTCTGACTATTAAGACTAGTGCTGCTATTAATATTGTTGGGCAAGTGTTCTTATGGTATGATTGAGTATGTTTTGGGTATATGCCCAAGTGATATCACTGGGTCTTGACATAGATTGATTCCCAATTTTCTGAGGAACCACTACTGATTTCCAGAATGGTTGTACTAAATTGCACTCCCACCAGCAGTGGAGGAATGTTCCCCTGACTCCATATCCTCTCCAGCATAAGTTGTCCTCAGTATTTTTGATCTTAGCCATTCTGATAGGTGTAAGATGGTATCTCAGAGTCATTTTGATTTGCATTTCCCTGCTGGCTAAGGATGTTGAACAATTCCTTAAATTCCTTTTAGCCATTTGAGTTTCTTCTGTTGAGAATTCTCCATTTAGTGCTCTACCTCATTTTTAATTGCATTATTTAATATTCTGTTGTCTAGTTTTATGAGTTCTTTATATATTTTGGAGATCAGCCCTCTGTCATATGTAGATCTTTTCCCATTCTGTAGGCTGTCATTTTGTCTTGTTTGCCATGTCCTTTGCCCTACAGAAGCTTCTCAGTTTCAGAAGATCCCATTTATTGATTGTTGCTTTCAGTGTCTGTGCTACTGATGTTCTACTTAGGAATTGGTCTCCTGTGCCAATGCTCTTAAGCTAATCTTGATGTAAAATATTTTCCTCTTTGATTTGTCTCTCAAATGATCTCACAAGTTTGTATAGTCATTACTTCCTGACTTATGTTCTGCAACTTTGCCCTTTGTTATGGTTTATTGTGATCCTTTGGATGCATGTTTATTACTGTTCCTTCTGCATTGCCCCTTTTGTCAGCTCAAAGCACTTTAAGATAGATCAGTGATCTCTAAAGTGGGAACTAATGGGCCATGGGTCATCCAAATCACTCCTCTTCTTGCTACTCTGGGTGTGGTTAAGGACTCAACTAAAACAGCTGGACTGAAGACTTCTTTACATCAATTAACATCCCTGTCTCTGAAACTCTCAGAAACCCTTAAAGAAACTTCTGATCAGCTTAAGTTCCTTTAGGACCAGCTCATTCTTTAGCTGCTGCAGTTCTTCCAGACTAAAAACCACTGGCTCTGACTCCTGTGGAAACTGGGATTTGAATCATCCTGCACCAATGATGCCGCTTCAGTACCAAGAACTCCTAACTGACTCAACTAGTCCCAGAGACACAGGGACCATACAAAAAATTTAGTCACAAGCCACCTGTGTCTGGGCTTTTGGTTCCCTCCCACTCTGGCTCTTGCCTTAGATCACAGAGTTCTTCCTTATTATCCTGAACCATGGATAAAATGCTGCATGTTAGCTTTCCCCATAGCTCTCCCACACAGCTGCAAAAGACATTTTAGATGCTCTGGAGAAACCCTGGATGCTAGGGACTGTCGTCCCTTTCACTACAGGGTCAGACACAATTCTCTAAATTAGTCCACCATTTTCTCCTGCTCCATTTTTTCAACACTCTGTTGCTCCTTATTGCTTCGGGTAGCTTACTTTAATGTAGTACTCATGGTGGCGCTAGTCATTGTCACCTTGAATCACTAGACCTGGGCGGAAAAATTTCACACTCATACCATCTTCTACTCTTTCCACAATCTGGAAAATCTATCTGTCACTCTCCTCCAGCTTGTCACTTCTACTGGCATCATGTAGACCCACAGACCCACCCCTCCCAAATAAACACAGGGAAAGTCCCCCTCCCTATATGGAAGCCCTATTTATAGACTTGCCCAAACTCTTACACTTCACTGTGTCGATTTCACCTCTACTCTTGCACCTCCTTTTACCTTTTTGGGCAGCCTCTCAGCTTTACTCTATAGTTGAACATCTGTTTTGAGCCCTCCAAAGCTTCTCTAGGAAAGCATGATGGCAATCCCATGGTTCATTGTGGCTAAACAAGTTAAAACTCCTCCTGCTAAGTGACCAGAAGATCCTTGACTCAATGGACTCTGGACTCCCCCCTCCCAATAATGGCTCTCCTTAGCTTGAAGCAATCAAGAAAGAGCCAATTCCCCCATTCTCCCTTCTTTCAATGACCCTGCTCCTTATCTCTTTTTATGCTTGTCTGTCAGGGTCGAGACTATAATTGACCTTGCTCGACTTTTATCAGTCAGCACAGAGAGGAATGGCTAGTGAGCCTGTTTTTTTTTTTTTTAATTTTTGGATTTATTTATTATGTATACAACATTCCTTCCATGTATGCCAGCAGGCCAGAAGAGGGCACCAGATCTCATTATAGATGGCTGTGAGCCACCATGTGGTTGCTGGGAATTGAACTCAGGACCTCTGGAGGAGCAGTCAGTGCTCTTAACCTCTGAGCCATCTCTCCAGCCCTCAGGAATGGCTAATGAGACAACCTGCTTCCCAAGATAGTCTGCCTTACCTTGGGCAAACATTTCTAGAAAGGAGAAACTCCAAACCAGCATAGCCCCCAAGACCATAGCAATTTCTTCACCCCAAATCCCCTCACCCTGCTGCTGTAAATGGTTCCAGGCAGCTTTCCCCTTGGCAGACCCCTCCATTTCCTAGAGAGGAGAGACCTCCCTTTGCTGTGTGTATTAATAAATACAACTCTGTCTGGTGATGTCAAACTCTGGTCTCTTTCTGCCTTCTGTCTCTTTATGCCATCTCAGAAATAGAACACTACGTGGTGGGTTAGGCACCCCACATCAGAGCTTTGATTTTTTTCATCCTGATAACTTGGTATGTTCTCAGGGTATGTAGCTGGGGAATCTTCCAACTCTCCTTCAACTTTCCCACGGTTATGACCTTTCCTGAAAGGGTTAGCTTAGCATACAGTCAGCTCCTTTCATGGCTAGTGTTTATTTTCCATTAACCGGAGCCACAGGCTCAGCTACCATGCATGCTTGAGGCTGGGCCTCAAGGGAGCCCCTTAAGTGAGCCCCTTAAGTGAGACACTTGCTTTTGTCTTTTCAGCTTTGACATGTTTCGTGTGTGCTAGGTTCAATTCTAGTGGAATTTGTGAGAAAGGAGAAGGTTGCTGTACGGCTAAACCTGGCGAGAAATGCGCCTCGCTTCTATTGTTCAGAGGTATGTAAGTCTGGATGCTCTGAGGGCCATCTTGCTGGCCGTACAGTCATGAATCCATCTCCAGAAAGCTTGATGGCAAATGCAGAGACTGAAGGAGGAGGTGTCTGCTGGCTATTGGTCAGACCAACAAACAAATTATTAAAAAAAATACTTTTGAAAGGTGTCTGGGCGATGGTTGGTGACTTTCGGGTGGAATATACTCTGTTATGATAGGAATTAGATTCTAAAATTCCATTCTGCACTTTTGGGAATGGAGTTCTGCCTGTGGGTTAGAGTAGGGGTTGAGGGATGGTGACAGCAGAGGGCCACCTCAGTTATACCTGTGTAGCAGATGTACCTTTCACCTAGAAGCCTGGCTCTCATTTACTGCGGCTTTTGCTCTTTTCACTAATATTTATAGCTTGCCTCTTGTCTTTCTTCCTCTCCAGATGACAAAATCCAGTTTGGAGTCCAGAGATGTGCTGACCCGTGCTTCAATGGGAACGTTGTGAATAGAAATAGAAGCATACTAATGAAATGTTGCAGTGACAAGTCTTACTGCAATTGGCTAAACGCCTGACACTTTGCATGGCTCTACTCTGGTGAGCCCTTGCTCCTTCCCTGTAGCCTCCCTGCTCAACAGCCTGTACTTAGCATCAGCTGTTGAAACCTCAACAGTGGTCTACTTCCTCTAGCCAGGGCATATGTTTCTTGATATGCCATTCAAATTTCAAATGAATTAGTAGCTTAAACCAATGGTTAGGTCATAGACATCCTCCCCTATCATCTCACAGGCACATCCAGACTTCTGCTTATTAAATCTGCTAGACATCCTTGGTATCATCAAGTGACTAGGATCAGACATTACAGGCTATGGGTTTTTAGAATTTTGAATAGGTCATGATATATGTTTGTATATATTGAAATATAAAAAGTTACATATCACAAATATTAAGACCATTGTAGCTTCTATTTTCTTCAGTGTTGTTCATTGAGTCATGGCCACGGAGCATACCAGAAAACACTCTCTACTGACAATGCCTGGAGTTTTCATCCTACTTTCTATATCATGCATTGTGGCCAAGATTTGAATTCTCTACTTCTCTCTTTGTGTCTTGTGTCATCCCTCTCTGTTGTTGGTGAATCTATGCCTGTTTAAAGACTGCCACCCACGTCTCTCTGTGCGTCTGTGTGCCCCATTAAATAAAGATGTTTGCTCTCCCTCTTCTACTGAATGACACAGAAAACGTCACATAGTGAATGAATGAAGGATGTTTTATGGGAACCTTCAACAGAGTTTTATAT